GCTCTAATTATTCTGCTCAGGTCACAAACACAGTGATAATCTCTGAGCATTTTCCTTACATCACAAAGCCAGTAGCTATCCAATAGAACTTTCTGAGATATTAGAATTGTTTCTGCACTGTCCAATAAATTAATTATTAACAACATTTGACTGTTGACTACTTGCAATATGGGTAGTATAAATGAGGAACTGAATTTTTGATTTTTATTTCAAATTTAAATAGCCACTTGTGGCTCACAGTTATCAGAATGGACAAAATCCTAATTTCACCATCTGATTTTGTATCATGATTCAGTGTTTATCAAAATGTGTCATGCATCTTAAAAATATAGTCTTGCTACTTATATTATTCCTACTAAATCAGTGCCATCTCTGCCCTGAGGACCTCCTTGTAGAATTTCAGTACCTCACCTTAGCTCCATAAGAATTAAGAAGCAAATTAGTTATTGCTTATCCTTTTTGTTAAGCCTTTATATTCTTTAACGTCATTTTCTGTTCTTATTTTTATTACTTTTTTTTCCAGTCTGTGATTGCCTTTTAGTTTTCTTAAATATGTCTTTCAAAGAGAAAACTTAGTTTTTTTTTAAATAGTTGATGTTTCCATGTCCTTTGTAAGAAATATTTGTCTACCTCATTATTGCAAGGCTCTTCTTTTCTTTTTTTAAAAGATTTATTTATTTATGCATACAAGAACTGGGGTATAGACCAGAGGCGGGGTGGGGAGGGTAAGAGAGGATTCACTAGAGACAGAGTGGGGAACAGAACAGGCAGACTGACTGAAATACACTGCTGAGGGGAGCAGTAGTGGGTGAGTCAGGAGAGGTCTGCTGCGCCATATGGGTCTCTCCCTGGCCAGGGATCGAACTCGTGCTCCAGTGGCTGCGGATTGCTTCATAGGTTGCGTCTTAACCCCTTGCACCACCAGGAGGCCCATAAAGCTTTTCCTTTAGGTTTTATTCTTAAATAAACGTTCTTGGCTCTGTGTTAAAGTCTATGATCAGTTTGAAGTTAAACTTCATACACAATATGAGGTCATGCCTTTTTTTTTTTTTTGAAAGGATGTACAGTTGTTTAGCATCATTTATGGAAAAGAATATCCTTTCCTTATTAACTACCTTGTCCTCTTTGCAAAAATCAATTGACCACATGTGTTAGTTTCTTTCCGGGTTCTATTCTTTTCCATTGAGCTGTATGGCTACATCACTACACTGTTTTGATTATTATACCTCTATAATAAGACTGTAATGAGTTCTCCAATTTTGCTCCTTTCCTGATTGTTTAGGTGATTCTAGGTTCTTTGCACCCCCAAATACATTTAGATTCTCTTTCTTAATTTCGATACAATGTCTGCTGGGATTGGTTCTTAAGGTGGTCTGTGAGGTTTTCATGTTGTTTGCTAATCAAGGCAGTTTTTTCTTCCTGTCTAAACTGTATGTCCTTTCTTTTCTTTACCATTTCACTGCAGAGGACTTCTAGTACAATGTTGAGTAGAAATGATTAGAGCAGACATCTTTACCTTGTTTCTGAAATTAGGGGGAAAGCAGTCAGTCAGCTTTCACCAGTTATTTTCTCCATTTCTTCTTCCTGCCCCTGTTCACTTAATACAAATATGCTTTGGGGATGGTTTCCCATTCATCACCATTTAGTAGTGTGCTCATGGTGCTGCTTCTGTCTGAAGGAGCAACCTTGTATGCCTTGCTTCTCCTCCCGTAGGCTGGCAGAGAACGGTGGAGTAGCCAATACAAGATAGAACAACTGTGGAGGGCTAAAGATTGTAATTTTATAGCATCCAGAGCATTTCACATCCATGGAGTAGGAATTGGGGCTCTGCACCAGGTGCTTCCTGTGTTTCTCCTCTTTTGCAGAGGAATGGGGGAGACCATTTGGGAGAGCAATGTTTTGCCAAGGGTTCATCATCACTACTGCGCATTTTGTAACTATATTTTTTTATGTTGAATTTTGAGAATTCTTTTTATATTCTGGACGAGTCCTTTGTTAGATATTTGGTTTATTAATATTTTTCCCAGTCTGTTGTCATTTTAATCCTCTTAACTGGGTCATTCACAGAACAAAAGTTTTAAATTTGATTAAGTTCAATTCATTGCTTTTTTTCTTTTATAGATGCTTTTGGTGTCTTGTCTAAGAAATTTACTTTTCAGCAGTACTCCATTTACCCACCTGTGACTATGCATGTGCTTCTTGTCACTAACTCTCTCCGCAGGGCAGCAGCCTTCCTTCTTGCCCATGAACCGTACCATTTCAGAACTTTTCTTTACTGACCTTCCTCAGTAGAGGCAGCTCTCTTGAAGGCCGCCTGCCTGCAAGCATGCAGGCCTCTCTTAGCAAACCTGTCCCTTCTGGGTCAGCTCTTCCTGCCCGTTTGTGTCTATGCAAGTGTGTTTTACTGTTTTATCCCTTCCCTAATAAACCTGCCCTTTAAATATAAAAAAAGGAAAGAAATTTACTTTACATTCTTATAAATCCTATCTTGTTCTTCAAAAATTGGCCTTGTCACTTTTTGATCATTAATTCTTAACCTTTATTATATATTACATATCTGAATATAAATCTGTGGGTCTCTTTCCATTGTCTGTTTTTTATTACTGGCTCTTTCATGACGATTTTTACTTTTTTATGTTTTGTGACCTTTTTCTGAGTTATATTAATAAAACTTGATTTTGTTTGCATCTCCTGTTGAAAGCACATTCTTTGGACTTAATATATGTTTGCTTTTGCTTTGTGCTTAGGATCACTTTTGACTCAAGCCTATTTAAATTAAATTATTGTCTTAAGTTCCTTCATCCTTATCAGATCTGTTGAATTTAGGCTGTAAATCTGAGAACCAGTTTGTTTGAATTGTCAAGAGGTAGGCTTGCCTCCCCTATCCCAGTCCTTGGTTTTTAGTGTTGATGCTGGCAAAGACAGTTCTTCTAGTTTCTTGGGCATGAGTGATGGGAAGGCTGGTGAATTTATTGCTATTTCACCCTAGTACTCAGGTGTATCTTTTATGTACCAGAATTTTGCAGGACGATTGCATTAGACTCTAAACTTTAGCAGGTTCTGTCTTTTGTCCTCTATCTTCTGAAGACAGAAAAACAAGATCGAGTTCACTGGGGTCTAGCAAATGCATTGAAAATGAAGCTGTCCTCAGAGGTTGCTTGGTTTTTACTCTGAGTTCCTTACATCTCGGTAGCTCATGTAGTTTTAACTAAAGTTTAAAAACGGGTTTTATTGACTTTTTATTTTCTCCTGGTACTGTAGAAAAGAAGCAATTCTGTGGTTCAAGATGGATTTCAGGGGTCATCGCCTCTCAGAGGCTTTCACTCTTTCAGGCCCTCCTTGGCCTTTGAGCTTTTGAGGGCCAGAACTATGTTGTTAATTGAAAAAAAAAAAAAAAGAAACTTATTTCCTGTCCTGGCAGAGTATTTATCACCAGTTGTTTTAGAAAGAATTTACTGATTGTAAATGGTATAGGTTATAGGAACCCAAATCATAACCCGGCTTTCTCAGTTGAGAAATATGAAAACAAACCTAAGTAAAACAAAGAGGAACCCAGGCCTGGTACCATTATGAAGTCTCCTAAAGCGAAACAGGTGGGTGTTAAGTGGTGGGTGAAGAGTTTCGGGAAGGGTGTGGTATGTAAATTAGTGAAAGAGGTTTGACGGCTTTGCTGGACTCATGCTGCTTCCCAGCCCGAAACTACGTTCACCCCAGTCTCCAACGGCTGGGAGTTTGGCTGGCCCGAATGCACTCATTTAATACAATTTGCCGATTTTTGCAGTACCTTTCCCTGTCTTTCATTTTTCTCAGTGTTGCAAACGGGAAGAACTTTTGCCCAATAAGTAGCAGGCTATCACTCACACACCCAGAGTTCTTGAAATGAACATAATTCCTACTTTACAGCAGAGCCTTTTATATTGTGTGCCTCAATCTCTTCCTGGAAAGTGAAAATACAAATTTTATATCGCTGGGGTCTCCCTTCTGTATCCCCAACCCCTGCGCGGGCGGGGCGGGCGCGGCCGAGGCCCTGGGCGGGGAGCTCTCCCCTCCGCTCCGCCTCGGCTCTGGCTCGGGTTAGAGAAAACCACCCAGCCTCGCTTTGTTTAGAGACACAGGGTTCTTGCAGGTTTTTTTCTTCCCTTTTTTCTGGCCTTAAGCTTAGCCCTTGCCAAATACCGCACAGCTCGGTGCTTATCTTAGCTGTCATCTCCTTTTCCAGCCCCTGCAAAAGTGGGGCTCAAGCTCAGGTCCCGCCCGGCCGGCCCTGGGATGGCAGCTCAGGTCACCGCGCCCTCGCCCCGTCCCCGCTCCCTCCCGCCCCCACCCGCCCGCGCCCGGCCGCTCCTCGCTCCCTCCAGGTCATCTGGGGTGACGGCGGGGTGGGGGGTGCTCGGGGCCTCGGGCCTGGCCGGACGTGAGGGCCCGGGCGCCGGCTCCCCCGTGAGCTCCCCAGGCGCGGGGTCCGCTCTCTCCGCCCGGCGCCCAGACAGCCGGCCCGCCCCGGGCACCATAGAGCCGCCGCGGCCCAGAGCGTCCCTTCCCTGGCGCCGGGCGCTGACGCCGCGCCGCGGGGCGGGGCCTACTGGAGGGGCGGGGCGAGAGGGAGCCGCCGACCGCACAGGGCTGGCCGGCCTCGCAGCGCCCCGCAGCGGCCGCGGCCGGAAGCGCCGTCGTCGGCTCTGCGGCGCCGGAGCCCTGACGCACGGAGCTCGAGAGCGAGAACGAGAGAGAAAGGGGCAGACATGGCGGCTCCGCTCGGCTCCCGCTGAGGAGGGCGAAGCCGGCGGAGGGTCGGAGCTGCCGGCCGGGACCCCGCTCTCGCCTGCCGCTCCCCGCCGTCTCGCGCCCACGTCCCTTCCGCGGCGCGGCTCTCGCCCGTCCCCGGCGGCGCCCGCGGAGCCCGGCGGCTCGTCCTCCCGGCCCGGCTCGCTGCCCTGAGCGCCGGCGGCGGGCCGGCCTCCTCCCCGGGCGCGGCGGGCGGCGCGGGCCGCGGCCGGACCATGGTGAACACCCGGAAGAGCTCCCTGCGCCTGCTCGGCTCCAAGGCGCCCGGGCCCGGGCCTGGGCCTGGGGCCGGCGCGGAGCCTGGGGCGGCCGGAGGCAGCAGCCATTTCATCTCCTCTCGGACCCGCTCCTCCAAGACGCGGGCCGCCAGCTGCCCCGCCGCCAAGGCCGGGGCAAGCGGCGGCGCCGGCGGCGCCGTGGACGAGGCCCGGGTAAGAGCCGGCGGCCGCGGGCCGGGGCTGGCGGGGGCCGGCCCGGCCGCCGGGGCTTTGTCTGGCCGGGCCGGGGCCGGAGCCGCGGGGAGCCCGCGCGGGCGGCGGGCGCCGGGGGTGGCACCGGCCGCAGGGCCGCGGAGCCTCGCCGGCCCGGCCCTTTTGTGCGCGGGGCAGCGCCGGGGGCCGGGCAGCGGCGCTGGGGGGTCCTGGGGAGACAGTTGCTCGCTGGGCGTTGCGCGTCCTTGCCCTGCGTTCTGGGGGAGCAGGAGCGCGGCCGAGGCGCGGGGTGGAGGGGCTGGAGTCGAGAAGCGAAAGTTTTCTGCGGTGTCAAAGCCTCCGCGCGAGTGTCACGCCCGCCGCGGCGAGCCCGGCCCGCGCCCCGGCTGTTCGGGGGTGGTTCAAGTTGGGGAGGAAGCGAGCGCAGAGCTCCGGTTGGCAGCCTGGCAGGCACGCTGAGAAAAGTTTTGCAGTTGCTCCGACACTAACTTTCACAACAAAATCAACGCTGTCGCCTCTCCAGGCTGGAGAGACCCGGCTCGCGGCTGGAGCTGGAGACCCGGCCCGCGAGGCCCTGCGGCCTGGGGGGCTTGGCAGCGCCCGCGGGTCCCGGGAGGGGCAGGTGCGGAGGAGCGGGCCGGGCGTTTGGGGTGGCCGGGGCTGAACGCTCCAGGTCGTTGGGGTGTCCAGGTGTCTCCTGCGTTTTTGTTCTGGGCATAGTTTAGAGACGGCGAATTAACGCATCGCTGTCACACTATGGGGAAAAGGAGCACTGGACGAAGGCGGGTGATGCTGTAGAGAGCTCAGATAAGGTGATTTTAAGAGCTAGAAATGTTGTTGCAGCGTGAGGTAGCATAGATTTTTAAACTCACTTTAAAGGAACTGATGAGTTTGTGTTCTGAGATGGGTTATGACTTCAGGAAAGACAGTATTGCTTGTCTAGAAAGAGCCTAACTTACCAGATGCCTGAGATGGCTATTCATTGAACATGTTCCTTAAAGTCTGCACCATTTGTTACTCTGGTGGGAAGAAAGTGGTATTTTAGGTTCACTAAGGCACGGTCAGTTTATGGTTTGTGTGTGCATCATTTTCCCTGTCGTATTGCTCTGCCACTAATTAGGATGAGTTGATGCAAATGCAACCAATATTTTACTGTGTTGCTTTGAAAGATGCTGTATCTTTGAAAATCTGTTTGCTTTTTATATTGCTAAAAATATTGCTTTTTATATTGCTAAAAATCTTCTTTAACAGGCCACTTTGGGCTTACAGATCCCTTAGGTTGAAATAAGAGCTAAATCTGAAAGTTGTGCAAACTTTAGAATAATGATTCAGAAAACTAGAGTTTCTGTGGAAACTATTGCAAACGTGTTCAGGCTTACTTATTTTCTGAAGCTAACATATTTCAAAATAAGAGTAAATTTAAGAAAGGTAGGTCCTCTACACTTAAGTACAAATAAAATATTTTTAGAGTGTAAGCATGTAATTGTATAATGCTATGAATGCCTGGTCTATTAGAGCAGTGTCTCATTCATCTGAAGCAATTAGCTCATCTGTCACTGATCACCATGTTTGAATTCATGGATATCATGCTGTCCTTACCCCCTGAGGAATAAGGTGAGGTAATTTGTCAAGCAGCTGTTATGGAGATGTTAAAAGGCAAGTAATCAATAATCTAATGTAGAAATGAGCATTTGGTAGCTTTTAAATTGCTAGAAGAATGAGAGATATTAGAGCTCTCTCTGGATGCTAATGAAACTTTGTTTCAAGGACCTCTTTAAAATGTTTTTAAGGGCCATAAATAACAGGTAATGAAGAGTTGGGCTGAAATATTTGCTTTTCAGTTTGAAGATTTGTATTCTGGTAGATGATGGAATGGTCTAATTGCGTTCTCAGAGAAATTTCAGAGATTTATTAATCTTAAACAGTGATTCGTCTCTAGAAGAGGATGTTGTTGTAATTCTGATTTTGCTAAGTGTATATGGGCTGCTGTATATTTATGAGCAGGTTGCTCTTTTTCTGAAATGGGTTGAGTTGAGCCTGGTAAACTCTCACTCTCTAATTGGTTTTGTGTTACAACATTTTAGCACTCTCTGGATCACCCTTCCTGGTGTCCTTAAAGGCACGCTCTACCGCTGGAGTCCTAGACATTTGTTGCAGTCTGTGAAGTTTATATTTGTTGAAAAATGGAGATGCAAATGTACTGTTGCTTTAGGAGACCCTCATTTTTGTAGGAAGAAATGTGCTGTTCTTTTTAAGATGTAATTTTGTGGTGTTCTTTACAGTTGATGCTGAGTGTTCCCTTTCAGAAACTTTAAGATTATTTCACTTGCTTTAAAAAGCCATAGCATCACAAGCTGTTTAGTTTTGCTTTTTCCTCAAGAATGTGTAGGATAGAGAAATAAACACGTTATATTTTGTAGGTTATTGGGATGATTTTCTTGTGCCCACACTTTCTTAATGTCAGGTTGACACGTGCTTTGCAGTTAGATGTAATTATTGCTGTATAATTGGTTTTTGTTTGTTTGTTTGTTTAGTTTGTATAAAGCTTGACTTCCTTTAAATCTGACCATCAGTAATTAGCATTTATTTGCTCCACCGGAGAGTCACTCTCAGCAAACAAATGCAGTATTCATGGAATTGGAAAGCAGTCGTTAAAAAATATTTCAACTCCTTTCCTACCTATTAAGCCAGTGTGCTGGTCCTTTTGGCTTTGTCACTAGCTTTTCGTGCTTTTGAGGTGGTCATCGACTCTTTCAGGGTCCACATCTCAGTTGTGAGAATTGGAATAAACAACTTTATGGGCATGCTTGTTTTATTTTAATTTTATTTAAAAATTCTCTTTGTCCTTTAATGTGTTCTTGTATCACCCTGTACTACTTTTCTGCTACTGTGTATTTGCCAACATAAAACAAAAACAGAGGGGTTAAAGTTGAGGGTTAAACATAGGAAGAAGTCTACGTTTTGGAAACGCAGTAATGTATATAACTTTCAAATGAGTAGAGAAATATGCAAGTTCCTCAAGACTAGAGCAGGTTTTTTGTATCACATTCCATGGAGCACCATGTAGGTGATAATGTAGTAAATAGTGTCCCCTGTCAAAATTTTGAACCGGGCTGCTTTGGCGTTCACAGGATTATCTTTGGAAGCCAACTAAAAATGCAACTTTAAAAAATTCAGTTACTGCCCATTTCTATGGTCCACATATACAAACTTGAAGCTTTTTAGGTCATAGATGAAAGTTACAGCACCTGTAGAGGTGAATCCATATTAATTCCTTAAATCATTTTCCTTGACAAGTGATCTTTTCAACCATCCTTTGATAGGTCCTTGATTGTATGTCTCCTAAATGCCTAATTAGAGACAAACCTATAACCTCTGAAAACCAGCTGGACTGGTGATAGGATTACCGTTTGTTACAAGAACTAAGGAGCTCAACCAGTGTCTGTACCTGAATGGAGAATGATCCTGTTTCTTCAAGCATCTACTTCAGAAAAGTGCTGTATTACTTTGAATTGTGTTTTTGCCATTTCTATTCAGACATACACAGTGAAGTTTCATTTGTGGGCATTACTGAGGTGATTTCATGATATTTGGGTTTTGGTTTTCTACTAGGAATATTTTATATTTCTGTTATGCCTCCTAGGGGTGGAGGAGTTTGTGAAAGTCGAATTACTGAGTATGTAAGATTTTTTTTGGATTAAAAAGTTACCTGGAGGTATGAAGTTGGGGGAAAAAACATGTAAAATGTGTTAATTTTATTTAATACATGGGAAACATTTTCAGAGAGGTATCTATTATATATGTGGCTTATGTCAAAAGATAGAAAATACAGTTACATTAAAGTTAATCTGTAATCTGTATTAGTTTTTTGGTACTTTGTTACTAGGTATTTAAATCTAGTACTGTCTTCTTCACTTGTATATCTTGTCTCTTCTTGTATTTATCACTACTTTTTGAGGTTGCTCAATCATTTGTTTCAACCAATACCGGAAAAAGTGAAGAAGACAATTATTGTAGAGTCGGGAAATATTGTCATACTGTATATAAAAAGATTTTACTAGACTCTTTGGAGTTTTGGTGTTTAGGATTGTATTGGGACTGAAAGTGGGAATGGCAGCCTGTAGGGATGTGAAATATAGGGCAGTGGTTTTCAGTAATTGCTTGCTGCCTAATTTCAGGAAGTAGGTGTAGGGAGAGGAACAGGCGTGTTGCGTAGGGATCATTTTTGCAATAAGTTTTGCTTCCTGGTATTTTAAAGATGACTTGGGTGGGGGAGACCCTTAAAGAGACTAAGTCTGGGGCCTTTTGGACTCCAGTAGAGATGTACTTGTGCCACCATCTTTCCCTCTGCTTGGTCATATTGATTTATCAGCATGTACATTAATGCACTGGGAAGCTATCTCAGGGGAAGATAAATGCTTTCCATTTGGAAAAAAAAAAAAAGCTTTAAAACTCTTGAAAATATTTTATATGGTATATTTGTATATGAAGATACATACTAGTGAATTAAGCATTTTAATTTTTGTCTATATTCTAGTACTCAGTTTAGGTTACGTAGCTTTTTAATTGCTTTCCTTTGATTACTAACGAGTTTGAGCAACAAATGGAACAAAAATGAGTTTGTTCATAGTAACTTCTTTGATTTCCTTATTTCTGAAATGCTTTTGCCCATTCTATTTTCAGCTGGAGTCACTCTTTTTTTTCCTCCCAAGGCAATTAGATCAGTGTGCTAAAGTAGTGGCATTTCAAATACCCATAAAATATGTTCTCTTAGCTTGCCAGACTGGAGGTGATTGGTGGTGAGGCTTGCTTATTTCTTTGTTCTCTTCTAAAATCAATAATTGTCGAGCATCTACAATATTAAAATGTAAGTGCCATGTGGGCAAGCATTTTCATCTACATGTTTAATTCCCTGTTCCAGGGCTGTCACGTTGTGGAAGTCCTCACCCCTTCCGCAGGGAAGGGGTGAATGTGCTTCCTTTTGCAGCGTGCTCCTTGTG